AAAAAAAATAAAAAAAAATTTCCCCTCCCCCCGTGAAAGGCCCCCCCCCCCCCCCAACACCCCATCCCAAAAAAATTTTTAATTTCTCATTAATATTAACATACCACCCCACACCTTTTACCCCCCTACCCCTAAAACCCCCCCCCCCCTCCCCATCCCATCCAAAAACGAATTATCAACATTTTAATTAATTAATTTTTTTTAAAAAAAAAAAAGATTACCAACCCACCTCTTACCCCTCCCCTCCCCCCCCCCCCCAACCTCTACCACCCATTATCACAAATTAAATATAGGAAAAAAAATTGTTTTATTTAAAAAAAAAACTATTACTACCCAACTCTTTATCATTTTTTTTTGCTTTACCCATTTTATCCATTTTTAAATGGGTAATATGACTATTATTCATTTTTTTTTATCCATTTTCAAATAAGTTGGATACCCAATTTATTATAAATGGGTGATATGAATTGCTACCATATTATTTGCCAGATGCAAGAAAAGACCCTTTTGGACTCCAAGCACAACCAAAAACCTGGAACAAGAAAAAAATATTTAATATTAATATAGAAGACATAACAGGCATGATATTTATCATTTTTCCTATAAAGAAATCTTGTCGGATTAGGAGAAACTTGTAAAGATGCGGTTAAACCTTAGATGTATGTCCTTCAAAGCAGTTACATCATAACTAGGAATTTCACTCTTTAGAGAGGTTGCCATTGTGTTGATATAAGTATTCTCCAAATCTGTCTTGCAACGAAAGAAAAACTTAAGTGTCACAAAAATAACAAAATTTGGAAGATCACTAAAAGTTACTAAATCACGAAATGGAAGCTTCTAATGTTTGTCATCTGAAGAAAAAAAACAATGCAATATGCAGTTCAACTTAAAATGAAAAAGAAAGAGTATGAAAATTGACATCGATTCTTGGAGGCTAAAGGCAAGCACAGAAAAGGCGCTCCTTTTTATATTTGTCGTGTTTGACCAAAAATAACATAAAACACACAAATTATTTTTCTACAAAAGTACTTTTTGTAAAAGTTATTTTGACAATAGTGTCTCGAGATCAGAATAATATTAGTTCTCTGATCTTTGAGGTATAGAGACTATTCCTGAAAATGACTCAATTCAGAATAAGATTATACACTAAAATGGCTATAGAGAAATACTAACTTTCACAAAATTTAAACAACAACAACATCATAACCAATGAGGTCTGAAGAGGGTGATATATACGCAAGTCTAAAGTAAAACATATCAAAGCATCTAATAGAAATGAAACATCAAAATCTCCATAAGAAATAGTTCAAAAGAACAAGAAAATTGAATTACCGAATTGAAGTAGGAGAAAAGCATAGGGTGAAGAAGCCATTGCTCTAAATTGATTACAACTTAAAGAAATAGATAAAGGGTCAAAAGATTTCTCCTTTATTTATATATATATATATATATATATATATATATATATATATATAGAGAGAGAGAGAGAGAGAGAGAGATTTAAGTCTTGAATTAGAAATGTTTTAATTTCAAAAGACATTTTGAATAAAGCGTTGAATGACAATTTTATCCTCAATTTATCTTAAAGAGTTGAAAGATTAAATTTATTTAATTTGAGACAAATTCAGAATTTAAACCAGATGTTTAAATTTGATAGTATATCAAAACATATTTAATATACTTAAGTTCACTTTATTGGTTTTTTTAGTTCTCAAAGTTAGAAGATCTAAATCATATTGTACAATTATATAATTTTAAACCTCTACACTAATTTTATTAGTAGGTATAATTTTTTCATGTTCCTTTGGATTTGTTAGTGTTTTAGGTTTTAAGTTGTTACATTACCGAAACTCTTATATTTTAGAAGTTAAAATATTTGGCAGCCTTAACCGTAATTTTATAAGTACGTATATTTTTAAAAAATTCATCATGCCGGCATCCATACATAAGATCTGACCTAAACACTGGTTTTATTTTTTAAGTGTATTTTTTTTTGTATTTATTTCCCAAAGATTTCTTTTGTCGGTAATTTCTCGTTAGTATTATTCATATGTTTTTTTGTTAGTTTGAAATTTGAAGTTTTTTTTGTTTCTTGAGGTATGAATCTTAATTCCTATATGACTTATTTTAAAAAGTTTCTTCTCTAGGGGATTTTTCAATCCTTTTAAAATGACTTCAATGGTAAAAAGTTAAGATTTTAAAGTTCTTTCTTAGGGAAAGGGATCAAAGACCCAATATCCACATAAAATTAGACGCATTTACAATTAGGGAATATTCAGACGGTTTTTTTGGAGACCTCAGCTAGGAGATCTCTGATTTGTTGAGTTGAAGGGTGAGTTAGTTCGTTTAGGCTTCTATGAATTTATTTAGGATCTTAGTCCATTTCATTCGGACTTAGACCATATATATTCTTTACATGTTTAGTTATTGCATCCCATTATATACTATTTGGTTAGAATTTTTGGTACAATGACTTTCAGGTTGTAGGGGTTGAATTTTCTTTTGGTTATGTATGTTTTTGATAAATAACCTAGTTTATGGGAACTAGGATTTTAATTGATTATTTCAACATTTTTCTACATCTTTAAATACTTGTTTTTTGGTTAGTATAATTTAGTTGGGTTGTAGTAATTGTTCGGTCAATGGAGGATTAGTGTGGGTGTCAATCACGATGGTTTGGGTCATGACAAACTTGATATCAAAGCGCTAGGTATGCTAATCTCGTTCTAACAAAACAATTCTAGTAGAGTTTCACAAATCGTAACAAAGATGTTTATATTTTTCTTCGAGAGGCTACAAGACATTAGGAAAATCTCTCCATCTTTTTCTCCCTATGTTCTATAACTTGTTTTGATGAGAGTATGATGATCCAAATTGGTATCTAATCTCTTCAACTCTTCAATCCACAAATGGTCAACATGAGAAACAACAGTGCCAGGCAAATAGTATCTATCAATGATCCAGCAAGGGAGCCTATATCGAGAGGATGTGGCTGAGGCAACGGTAGAGGAAGAAGAAGGGGCAGACGCTGAAGTAGGGTGGCATCCGCTGGTAATGAAGCCCAAGATGAGAACTGATATGTCGTCACAAGAAACTTTTGTGACGAAAAATAATTCGTCAACTTTTCGTCCTTAAAGCATGGGTCATTAAATGTATACAAAGACAGCTAAGTGTCTTGTCACTAAAAATTATTCTATTAACTACATAAAATTTTTTTGTCCGCAAATGCAAAGTATTTATGACGAACTTGTTTATCAAAGAAATTATAAAATTTTATAGATAATTGTGTGTTTTCGTCACTTAAGAAGCCATCAATGCCGATAAAATTGATTTGTCATTGAATATTTAGTTTAATTCACGACAACATCATTTGTCTCTAATATTATATGTATTTTGTAAAAAGAAAATATTATTTTGGAGTTGAAAAGAATCATATCGTCACTAAAGGGCATATTTTTATGAAAAAAATATAATTGTCTTAATGAGGTCGTCACTAAAAATTAAACTTTTAAGCATGAAATAGTCACTAATCACAAGCATCTATTGATATTTAAATTAGTAGCAACACTATTTACAATCTACATTAAAATAGGTTTCACTAATTTAATATTTTATTATAACTACAGTAATTAAATGATACATAGATATCTTCAACTTTCTAGAACGTAGTATTCTATTTATAATGAATATTGTACAAATAAAAAATAATAAATGTGTAGTGTGTGTCTTAACATTTTTCGTCATTTAATGAAAAAGTATGGATAAAAAATTCTGCATTTGACTCTCACAATTAGATTTTAAGGAATTTCACAAAATTAAGAATAATCTTTGTACCCACAAAGTGTTGGTATTACTGCACAGATAGCAAAACATCAAGTGAACCCCGATGATGAATTCAAAGAAAAGATGAAAATCAGAAGCAAATAGAAGCTGAATAAAACAAGTGTCATTCTTTAAAGAAATAAATGTAAAGCATGCCCAAACATATGATAAATATTTCAACTTCAGAGTGATTAAACCTCAGCAATGTCTAATTTGATCCATCCTATAAGTTAACATCCACAGACAACATTCAACAACTAATTAACATTATTAAAATAGAAATACTGCAATGATCCACATAATATCCACAAAATAGTGAGCTTAAATTAAAATCTAATATGACATGCATTTAAGGAATAAGTTCTTCTGGGAGGGAATCCAAACGTAGAAAGTTTCATGTTGTTAAATAGGAGAAGCTTATGAGGGACAGAAAAATGGGAGGATTGGGTGTAAAATTAGCTTTGTCAATATATTGTTGAAAACAGACCTTAGTAGAAATAGTATACTGTATCTCATTTCCAGAAATCTCTAGAAAAAACAAACAATAGAAACAATTGTTATCAATAATAGAATCATTAATTTAGATGAAAAGAAACAAAAAAGATTCAATGAGTCATTCTTTTCTATGACACGCTTATAACTCAATCTCACAAAAATTTTATTTCAAAGAAATATTCAGATGACTCATTATTATTATGATAGCAATATTTGACCTATGATTATTATGATAGCAATATCCACATGTAGTATGTACGTATAAGGTATATGCAAAGTAACTAACTAAAGAATCAAATTTAAAAGATATAGGAGGTGAATAATCACAACAGCCTATGTATTTTTCACCTGGAAAAAACAAAATAGTTGATGAGAACCAATCCTAGCAAACGAACCATAAGTTCTACAATTAGATGCACTAGTAGGTACTAATACTAACTGAAATTAAAAAAAAAACCTTGGACAAACCATTTTTACAAATTTATTTACTTCATTGTATTACCCTCTCCAAGGACATTCAAATCACAGAAAAATAACATGCTTTTCAGGAGTACCAAAGATATGCCTATGTGACTGAGGTATAAAGACTCATTTAGTATGTATGGTGGAATAAAAAATTCATGAGATATAATGTTGTACTTTTTAATTGTCCATTTGGTTGGTGGGATAAGAGATTGCAATCCTATGAGATGTACTAAAATGACAGGATTAATTGTTCCATGTAGAAAATGGAATAGCTAATCCATGACATATGTTTGTTTATCCCATCTCACATACCAAATGCTAAGTAAGAATAACTAAATGGAGCCCCATGTTCTGATCCACACTACAACATTCTATATAACATGTTAGACAGGTTTACATGACACATATTTCTTATGACAAGCTGATCAATTGCATAAGGTGTGACACAACTTACCTGCACACACCATCCTCTTCAACAAACTGGGACAACCCTTGCCACTATAATCTAAAAGATCCACTTAACAATTTCTGAAGTTTAATATACAATATTCTTCTCCTCATAATGGACATATATGATTTACTGTTAAAATAATATCTAGTCACAGCTTGACAGTGACTAAGCAAATAAAGCAACAATAATGACATACCACAAGTGGGGCTTTGAACTTGACTTTTTCATCATTAACCTTCTATAAGTTTGACATTGTGTTGTTGCTTTTAACCAACCTCCTTCAGAATCTAATGCCTCAAAGTAAAATTCAAAATTAACCCATAAATCTGCACAACTTAGTTAGAAAATATACAAATCATTAACATATTCATTCCAATAAGACATAGAAGAGGGCACAACTTCAGGGGGGAAAATATAGCATGAACTACATTCTACTATCACATGAAATAGGGCTAAAACATCAAGACTTTGTGATAATTTAATAGATAAAAAAGCAGAGGTGTTACAACATTTATTATAAGAAATCAATAAAAGAGAAATGAGCAAAAATTTGAATTATGGTGATGAGATCCAAAGAAGAGAAATCATCAACCCATGAAACTTCACAACAACACACATACATCTGGAAAATTGACAAATTAGAGAGAATCTAACCTGAGATATACAACTCGAAAAAAATAAAAAGAATGAAAGGGAAGGACTTACAACTATGGCTAGAGCTTAGAGAAAGACCAAGTATTCCGGCAATGATGGAGGCTATGGCCAGTGACGATAGAGGCTCTGGCCGGTGACGATGGCAGACTCCTCTGGCCACCGATGATGGAGGCTCTGGCAGGTGACGACCGAAAGAGAAGCTCACTTTTAAATTAGCTGCTATAAAAAGAATTTTGATCTCCTTCTAGATAGATTTGCTTGGTTTAGCTTTTATTTTAGGAAAATTTAGCTAACTAGTCAAAAATATTAACTTATTTAGTGATAATATCCATACTTTAATAATATTAGTAAACATGTCAAAAATGTCATAATTTTAAAAATAAATAATTGTTTTGATATTATTAATATTTTCTCTCTCATTATTTACACATTTTTTTCTCTCTCTCATATATTACACAATTTCCTATATCTATGTAATTGGAAAGATATTAATGTAATTTTAATTTCTCTCTCTTTTCTTAAGCTTATTAATTTCTCTCTCTTATTTTCTTCCTAATCAAATTCCCAGATTTCTCTCTCTTTTCTTATTCTTCTTTTCAATTTCTCTATCTAACATTCTTCCAAATCAATTCCACAGATTTTCGATTCAATATATTAATATTTTCTGTTATTCTCATTTAATTTCGTTGCAAAATTTGATTTGAAGATTAACATTGATTTGGGTATTTTTTTTTCAGATGCCTTATTTATTTACATACTGATTTTAGTATTTTTTTAATTTTTTTTATTTTGTTGTTGTTCTTAAAACATTTTTTAGGATTTGAGACTACATAATTCTCTCTTCAATGGACGTTTTCAAGAGAGTTACTAGAGGTATTAGACAAAATAATCAAAGTTCTTCCGATTTTCCATCATTTAATTTTTTTTTCACTCAAAAATTAAACAACAATATAGGTTCCGCTTCTAAATCTAAGGAGGATATACGACGGGGAAAAATGTCTGAATCTGTCGATGTGCAAAATCCCACACAAATTAATAACCATGAAGTTGAAGAAGACCAATTTATTGGAGAAGAGTTTTTTTTTTTGCATGTTTTGTGTCTTGCATGTTTAATTTAATTTGTTTAGTAATTTTTAAGATTCAAAAAAATTCATGTTACAATGCGTTTGGAAGTATATATGGAATTTTTATTATGTTATAGTTAGTATTTATTTTTGTATTTTATATATTTATTGTATTTTGTGTTCTATTTTTTTTTTTGAGTTAGTTATGTTTGTGTATATTTCATAATTTTGATGTTTTTTGTATTCATAAATTTGGAAGTGTATATTGAGTTTTTGTTGTTGTTTTAGTCAGTATGTATTTTTGTATTTCATTGTTTTATTGTATTTTGTATTCATAGATTTGGAATCGTATTACATTTATTTAATTTATTTTATATTTTGTTTTTTTTATAGTTATGTCAATGTACCACAGTTAGTATTTATTTTTGTATTTCATAGTTTTATTGTTTTTTGTATTAA